AGTACAAGTCAATAAGTTTTTGCGAACAATGCTGATCAGCGTGCCAACCGCGAGATAGGTTGACTGGAAAGAGTTTTTCTCCCGCTTTGGCCAAAAAGTAATAGTTTTTCAACATGCCCTAGCACCTAAACTGTTTTTCAGAAATTTAAAGCTAATATATGCATTTTCCTTAATTCTCTAAGCTTGATTGCTTTTTGTTTTGTCTAGGCTATCCGGGACGAGCCGCGTCACTGACATGGTTAGCCACCATGTCTGTGACGCGGCTCGTCCCGGAGTGCCTAGTCAACACAAACTCCGGCCGCGAAAGCCTATGCAACCATATCTTGATTGCTTTTTACCCTGGGCAGGCTGCTAACCTCACCTGGAAACCCTCCTTCTTTACCCGGGCTTGGGACCGGCTGTGGGTTGTTGAGCTACTGAAGCTACTCAATCCACCCAACAATCACCACAGGCGGAGTTTTATATTAGACCTGTGGGAAGAAGATATCCCGAAAGACCGAGGCGACGATGTCACGAATGTTTTTAAATCTAAGGAACGGAACAGGCCTATGACCTACTAAGATGAAGATATGCATTTTGAAGGAAATTTTATCTACTTTAATTTGTTAAAGATGCGAAGAATATTTGAAAGGTCGGCTTTTATTGAACACACTAAATTTTCGAAAATTTCAAATTTAGAAATAATGTGAGGGAGTCTGTGCTGTTAAGCACCACTAGTTTATTTATTTCCCTCTTTCCTTTTATTCCCCCCTCATTTTTACAACTCTGAGAGTTAAATTCAATCATTCAATATTACTTGTATAAGTTATTACAAAATTATTTACGTGTTGGTGGTAACTGTAGAAACATGGAATCCATAAGGAAGGAGGAGGAAAGGAAAATATTTTTAAAAGAATAGTGAAATATTTACAAACACTAGTCACAATTGAACATCATACTTTAACAGACATATTTTGAGAACTTTTCTCCATTTTCAGTGTTCACTTATCACCTAACCTTCTCCAATAAACTGTTCTCTTCATAGGAAGCAAGAAATTACTTACTAGCATACCTTTGTAATAATTCAGTATTTTTAATTCAATTCAGTTTTTGATCTGTAATTCTCAATTTAGTGTTCACTGACCAAACGTTTCTTTTGAAAAAGGCCATGCTAGACAATTCCTATACTGGAAAACTGTTGTGTCAAAATACTGATAGCACCTCCCCCTTTCCAGTTTACCCATTGTTCATACAGAGGTGCTACACTGCCATTCTCATATCCATTTCAACTGGAAGCTTCTGAGTGTGAATTGGCAGATTTCTCCAGAGAGGAATCTTCAAAACTACAGGAATTAATCAAATAATTATTGAGAAAAACAAAGAACACAGTATCTTCACACACACACACACACACAACACATTTTTAACAAATCCTAAAAATGTTCTCTACAACTTTTCTCGGTTTAGATTCCCTAATTTGTAAATTTAGATGTGTGGTAATCATAAACTAGATAGTACTTAATGTGAATTAATTGTGTGTGTGTCTGACAAGAAAGTTTAACTTCTCTAGAAGAAGACATCAAATTCTCAAGAGGGGAATGATCCCCAACGTCTGCTCTCTAGTGTACACCTCTAGAGTCCTCTAGTGTACCCCACCTCTTAATGGAAATCATAAAATATTTAGTTACTTTGTTTGTTTGTTTTTAATTATAATTTCTATTGTATATTTCATTCATGTACATTTATTTGAAAACTGTTTCACCTGCACTTATGGTTCAATTCTTTTCATTATACTTAATAGTAACAGATTTTAGACTTCTTGAGGTTTTAATTACTTTAAGAGAGCACAATGTAATAAAATTTTGATGAGTAAGGTAGTATATTAATATCAAAGGCTTGTTTAATGTAAATAAATAAATAAATATGTGAATCCATCCCAATGATGTAAGTACCCAAAATATTAATACATTTTGACCATTTATATGCTTAAATGAATTGTATGTAATTGTGTAATGGAATAACTGCAAAAATGTATATTCTTGTGTTAATTCTAAATTGATACTCGTGGTCACTTATGACCCAGTTGTTGAGAAGCAACCTTAAGTAAATAAATTTTTAAAAAAAAGGTAGTATTATTTTCACTTTCATTATTTCATTACTTTATTACATGATTTTCATGATCAAGTTTCACCTTTTTCATTTCAGTTACCTTTCCAGCTGATAACTACAATGCTATCGGTCACAATTTCTACATGATAATTCCACAGAATCAAACCTTGGGTCGTGTGTGCACTACACACAAGCAGTAGCTAAGCTTATGATGAAATTTTGTCAGTGAAGCTGAATTGGAGTTTTGTAGGCGGTTTTTTTTTTTTTTTTTTTTGCAAAATTGTAGCTTCAAAGGTGAAATAAGATATAGAGTGCTTTGATGGACCTCATGCATCATCATTGTACAGTAAATCCAGAAGATTTTCACACATTTGGGAAATTTTCATTATGAAACAAATGAAACTAAGCTGGCATGTCAAATTGCTTCCCCTCCAAAGAATATAAGATAAATTTTGCCTTTATTAACTCAGTGGGTACTTTGCAGCAAATTTGCTCAGAAAAATTATTAGAACTTCAACATTAAATTAGAACAAAATTTCAGACTTCAACATTGAATTCCTTAACATTTGAGTAAGAAAAATGAAATGGCTCATAATCCATCAACCTTACGTTGTTTCTTACAGCATTATTTCAACCTCTAATCATTACTTCATAAATTAAATTTCGAATTGATGATTTTGGCAAAAAGCTCCGAAATGGATATTTTTAATGCCTCCTTTTACAGAAATGTCCCTTCTAGAAATTATTTCAAACCTTATCTTATTAGAAAGATCAGGTTATGAAGCTTCTAAAACAAGTTAATTTGATTAGAAATCAGAGATAAGTAATGCACAAGATGTGAGAAAACGTTTGAAAGAAATTAGTGTTAAATAAAATTCTAGAGTTTATTATTGTATAGTTTCCTCAATATTCAAGAACAAAAATTGAAATTTAACACTAACTTAATACATTGTGGTATTAATCAGACATCACTTACATGAACAAACAATGTTTTTTAGAATTTGGTTACAAAAACACATTCACACAAAACGAACATAGAAAGAAAACTATCTTTATCAACTGTTAACTGTTAGCTTCACTACTAGCAGATAGCACCGGCACAGCACACACACTGTTCAACACTGCCTGCCCTTTCCAGGAAGTTCTTCTCTGTGAGGTGCCTAGTGTGCCATCTATCTCTTCTGATGTTAACCCACGAAATCCGTTCTTGTCCTCCACAATATAATTTGGATTTTGAATGCAAAATGTCCACCTTCTAGCTGTTGCTATTACAGTAAAAATTAAGAGTAAAGTTGATTTGTGAACTCAGAAGTCTTAGGATGTCTTTAACATTTCATATAACCTAATACATTTTACACAGTTGTGGAAATTTTAGTTTTTTGCACAGTTGGGTGGAGGAGCAGGAGGTCGTTTTTGGTTTATTAATGTAACCTGCTGCCATAGCAATGTCCTCCAAATTTGCATCTCAAATCATCATTTACTTTTAATTCTTACAGTAATAACAGCCAGGTTGAAATTTCATATTAAAACCAATGTTATATTCAGATATTAGGTGCTAAATTGCAATTTTCATACTTAAATGTTGCGGAAACTGTACAACAAACTTGGAACTTTTAATTCACACTAATGTTTTTTTTATTCAAGAAAGTTTTCCCACATTTTCAGCAGTGCTGAAGCATTTTTGAGCATTGCATTGAGCCCTGATGGCTAATCAAATTAACTTTTTTTAGAAGCTTCAAAACCTACTCTTTCTAATTATAGGTTTGAAAGAATTTTTAGAAGTTTCTTTTCTATAAAAGAAGGCTGAAATTCCCTACTTTAGGGCTTTTTTGCCAAAATCATCAAGTTTACACTTAATTTGTGAAGTAATGGTTTGGACATTGTGCATTACGAAACACTGTAATGCTCATATGTTCTGAGCCAAGCTTCATTTTTCTTCCTCAAATATTAAGGAAGCTATTCAATGTTAAAGTCTGGAATATTTTTAACATTAATTTTTTTGAATGCCTTGGCTATCATGTGCCATATTAATAAAGACAAAATTGCCATGAATTTTATTGAATAGAGTGGAAAAGGTGAATAAATACTGTTTCATTTGTTTACCAACAACGGAAAAGGAAGTACTGTATTCCCAAATCCCAAAATCTTATAGTTGCACTCTACAATGATGCTGCATAGGATTAAAGAATCTAAAAACCTATTCCAATCAGGAAGCTACAACTTCCTTTGAGACATGTGGGACTTGGTAAATAAAATTCCATCAAAATTAAATGTTGGTTGTGCAGGCACATGTCTAAAATTACACTACTAAACAATGGATGACTCAGATTGATTAAGTGATTTCTGGCACACCAACTGCTAAGGTCATTAGCCCCTTACGTTACCTGTAAGGTCATTAGTCCTGTACATGTTTTTTTGCTCAGAAGATGGTTGTAGTCTTCCCCTGAAGGATGGCGAGTTCCAGCACCGACCTACCTTCAGCTGAAGGGGTTTTGCTCAACCAAATATCTCCCAACCAGTGGGAGCCATCTCAGGACAAGCTCTAAGCTCCCAACCAGTCTCCTGATATGTGTGGTAGTGTGGCTCATGTTCCTGAAGTGTGTGTAAGTAAGGGGTGATGATAGGAAAAGAAAGAGGAAGGAAAGACCCAGCACGGTTCATGGCCTGTTTGTTAAGGTACTGCTCTGGCATTCCCCTGGTGTTGATAAGAGAAAGCATGGAAAACTACTGACCAGAGCAGCCAGCTGCTATGATTCTCCTCCAGACAGCAACTGAATTCGACCTAGCTGACAAGCTAGTGTAGAAATTCCTGCTACTGTTGGTTCTTGAATACAGAATCTCTTGGTCGGAGGCACTGTCGGATGACTCAGGATCAAAACCATAATACACACGCAAAAACCAATTCACAACTACATGTTTATGTAATGTAATAAATAATTTATTCATGGTTCAATATTCAGATCAGATCCTATTTCAGTATAAATAACTGTATTCTTGTCAAAATAGAGTTCAGTACATTGTACATATTTGATGTCATATTATGCAACAAAGGCAGAATTGTTACAATCACTGCACTTTCTTTGACTAGTCCTCTGTAAGGTAATACTTCTGGTATATAATAAACCATTAAATAATGGACAATGTTTGCACAAGTATGACACCAGGCACTTACTATTAGACAATGGAATGAAAACTTTGGCTAACATCATTAAAACAATAACAAATCACTATGATTTAAAAAAGTCTCTTAAAATAATTTGATAACAAGCACAATAATACTACTATAATGGAAGAATTAGGAGATTTGCATGTTTTAAAATCTCTTATACAGGTTCTAATTTAAACACTGGTTAAAAAATGATACATTGCTATCTGACTTGAAAACATTTTGATGTTACAAAAGTTCATATAAATATTTTCATGAAATATTTAATAATACTTTATACTGAGAATTATCTTGTTAGTTGAATCTTGCAATATGAATTGCTTCATTCATTGGTAAAATTTGGTCCAAGCATTGACTAACATTACAGGAATGCAACTGCATGAAATGAAGCCCCGAATTCAGAAATTGTTTCATTAGTGGGCAGTTAATCCAACAGATCTTTTCTCTCTTTTCCAAACAATGACGAGACCTTGGGCATCACTTGTAGCAAGAAGGCTTTCATCATAGTTAAAGCTCACTCCCAGGACTGGACAAGCATGGCCTTGCAGTTTGTTGACACAAGCTTTTCCCTCTTTCTCTATATCAAGGAAGTACACACAGGAATCTTCACTGCCAGTTACTGTAAATTAATTCAAAAATACTTTAATAAAATGTAAAACACTTTACAGGAGCTATGCAGAAAATTTCAACATATAAGCAATATTTGATAGAAGGGAAAGTTTCAAAATTTGTGCACTTTGAGCTGGTAAATTTATATTATGAGTACTAACATGAAACATTTCCTTATAATATCACTTAATATTACAAAGAAAATTCTGCTTTCTACTATAAATGAACATGTACAGAATCTGAATCGCTTCTTATTTTCTCACAATTTTCATGAAAAATAATAAATTGAAAGGAAACCACTTCACAAGATAACTTTATTGAAAAAAGAGAATGATCAAAGTAAATCTAAGAAAGCAGCAAAACAAATTTTATTAAAATTTTACCAAATAAGTTATCTTTAATAAATGTTCTGAAAATATGTTCTCAAATTTGGAATAAAAAAAAATCTTTAGTAAGGGTATTAAAAAGAAGTAAGGAAGTAATTCCAACAACAAAAACAACACAACATAGTCCTACAGTCACCATTTGTAGTCCCTTCAAAGCATAGAAACATAATTTTTAATTCAAACATTTTTAAAAAACGAGACATTCTGTATCTTATAGGATTAGTTTAATCAAGCACCCTTAGTGCAAAAATTCAAAATCAAACTTTGTCCCCTAGATTCCTTACTCAATCATTCCTTTGTTTAATGAAAACTTATTTGATCGTTCAAAATTAGTTGATAATAATTGGGTGATCTCCATGAAAAGGTTTTGTTGTTTTTTTTCCTCAAAATTACGAAAATTCCGCAATAAGCAGTGAAAAACAAAGAATTGATGTGTTTACCAAATAACTCTTAACAGAATGATGAATTTCCAAAATACTGTATTTACCTGAATAAAAGATGAGATTTGTTATTTTTTTTAATACAAAATATCTCCTTCAAAATTAAAAGTTTCTATTTCTCGCTACGGAGTTGAGAGAAAGTTACTGTATTTAATTTGCGCGAAAAAACGACGAACTTCCAGTACAAAATCTGGCAAAGAAAAGGTGGATAAATCCAGTTCCCCAGTTTACAAAACATAATCCTCTAACACGTGGTGTAGCAGATTCCATGTTTTGTGGGTCCTTGATACCTAAACCAAAACCAAATGGCGGCAAAACATACGTCACTCCATCCGTCCATCCGATTTTCTCCGAAATTAATATTCCCCACTAAAGCTGGCTGATGTCGCGGACCCATGAATTTGAAACAGAAAGAAAGAAAATGGACTACATCGTTACATCGTTTTTGATCCAATTTTGTTGTTGTATAGTGTGAAGGACATTTAAGAAAATGGCGCAGATCTCATTTTCCTTTATAACCCTGCTTTTTTGAAAATTGCAAACGTATTTTTTACTCTTTTTACAATTGAAATTTTAAAGACTGAATTTTTTTTCTCTTAATGAAATCTGTTACTTAAAGACACATTTTCAAACATTGTCACATACAATTTTTCGAAAAGTTGAGTAATTTTCGCGTAATTATGCTTGAAAAGGCGAGCGGGAAAGTACGTGCTTTTTTATCACCACTATATTAAATAATATGCAACACGTAGATATAATATTAATTTATTAAAAACAGAGTTATCACAATTACAAGATACTAGGATGCATGTCATTTTATAATTTTTTGCTGGTTCAAAATGTCTGTCTAAATCTTTTCGAATGTTAACCCGAACAGTCGTTTACTTTCAATGATTCTAACCTATGTGCTTGTCTATCATAATAGTATTACTTTAATAGTAACTATGTATTACTATAATAGCAACTATGTATTACTATAATAGTAACTGTGTATTACCTATGTATTACTATAATAGTAATACTAATGTGATTCATTTATAGTTGTTTTTTTTTCACCACTTCTAAATTTTCTTTGTCTCTGAAAGGATCACGATTGCGATGATTTTTGGACAAGAAAATACTGTTAGTTCAGTTTAGTAGGTATTAGTTATAATAAGGGGGCGGATTTTAATGAAATGTCATTTTTGTCTTTTCACTTTAGAACATTCTCGTATAGTATAGAAATTCATGACGAAATGAAACGACCCACTTTTAAGGTGTTTTTTTTTTTTTTTCATTTTTTGTCGATTTCGACTAATTAGTGCTTTTTTATGTCATTTTTACTGCATTTTTTCGCTGATTTCATCGATTTTATTATAAATTTTATGGTACTTGATTGAAACAATTTTTACAAGGTGCAACAAATTCCCCACAGAATTCCTCATTAACCTATTCAATTTCTTCACTCATATATTGTAATGTCAGCCTTTGTGAGTACTATGTAATCTAAGGTTGCCATGGTGTTCATCAGCACCATTGTCAGTTTGGCAGATTTTACAATAAATAAAGGCAGAGATTTTCTTAAACAGTTCAAATCAAAAGTTTGGCAGTCGAGTTCACTTCAACAAAATGAAGAAGCCTTGATTATATCAGTATCGTATCCAACACCTTAAGTTGTTCATCTGAAGTGGTTTCAATCAAATTTTTTACGTCATTTTCCTTTCTTTTTAAAGCATTTTAAGAGCATTTTATTGATCATTTTTGGCAATGTTTTATGTCATCGAAATCCGCCCCCTAGTTATAACATCCTCATCCACAAAACAATTTTTTAACCAATTTCTTGTCAATATTATTTTGTCTTACAGTATATTATGCATACTCACCCACACAAGCACCTTGACGAAAAGACATTATTGGACAAAAAGTGGAACGAATCAAGTTTGTTTTGTGCCGAACAGCAAACTTGCGCCGCAACAACAAACTACCTTCTTTATCTGTAACCCTGATGCATGAGAAAACATTCAGTTTTTAGTTTATTCACAAAAAATACATATATTCAATAGCAAAGTAATTCAATAACTATATTGTAAAATACAATATAGTATGATCATGAAGACTTTAACATATAAAACTGATGGGTAATTAATAAAACAAAGAAGAAGAGAGAGCTTTCTACATTCTTCAAAACTCTCCTGAAGAGAAAATGGCTTACCTGAATAAACATACAACATTTGCAGCACAATTCACCAAAAGGGTAGGATCTCTTGCTTCACGACTTATCCAAGCTCTCCATGAAATGCAAGTTATTGGACAATTCTCTGCCACACTGATCCGACGACATTTGCTTAGTCGGCCAGTCTCCAAATCAAATAGAAATGACACAATCATTCCCTGCAAGACAAATTGAAAAAAAAAAATGGTTATTAATAAATATACATATACAAAATTATAAATTTCATTTAAATTACATCTGACATTACAAATGACAAAATCTTTATTTTCTCATGAGTAATTCACACAAAGAATACTTTTGAGTAAATAACACATCAATTATATAAAAGTTTAGTTGTTTGAAGCTTGATAAACCTTCATCACAAAGTTGGTAATAGAAAATTCACAATTCAAACAATGGAACATTTATTTTTACTATTTTATTTCACCCTCACAACAAATTGCTCAACTACAGTATTGTAAACCAATGACAAAATAGTGTTTTTGAAGGGGAAAAAAACGTGCGGTATCTTGTGACATGAAAAACTTGTTCACATTAGAATAAATATTAAATCCAGAAATTTAGAACCTGCTGATATCATTGCACTACTCAGCATGATTTGTACAATTGAAACCACTTTAAAAATTTTTAATGGGCATAACAACATAGTTGTAAAAGAAAAGAAAAAAAATACATTAACACTTGAGAATCACATTTATCACCCTCACAACTCTTATTCCCCTTTTGCCTGACCTGTAAGCAGACCTCAGAATTTTAGGCATAAAAATGTTATGATTTAGGCACCAAAAAGAGGTGACAATATTATGGAATTAGACACTTTTAGACATGAAAAGAGACATTTTAGGCACATAAGATAAGTTACAAAATGCTTAAATTATGCATTTACAAATATTAGACATTAGAAGTAAAGTTTCAACTGCCATTTGAGGCACCCTTAGATATTCTTTCAGTAGATCTATTTTTCATGATTTGTATTCAGCAATTATTTTGCACAATCTCCTAAAGGAATTAAATACGCATTTGTCCCAAAAATCTGAGGTCTAATTATAAGTAGCTTTGGTAACAAATGAAAAATTTACCATTTAAAATACATTCACTCTATTGTTGTGCTGATGACATTCTACAATGAAAGAAAAAATGAAATGTGAAAACCTTCACCTTATTGTTACCAGCCCAAAGCATTTGGCCACTGGAATCACATGCCAGAGAGAGAACTTTTCCACCAAGTTTGCTGCTACCACCTCTGGGATAAATACCAGTTGAAACATTTACGACCTCCACCATCCCTTGGGAATTGCCAGCCTATACGTCTTATCAAGGATAAAAACTCAAAAATAAATATTAGGTATAAATAAACTTGACAATGTAGAAAGATAATAGGAGCAATGACAATAATACTGTAAGGCACAATATGTGGTAAATTTCAGTCATAAATGAATCTGTTTATCACACAAATGAAATTTGTATTCATTTCTTAATAAATGATTGAAACCAATCAATTACAAACTTCTAAACGTAATCTGTATCTATGAAAGTATTGATGTATATGAATCTATTAACAAAATATCTGTTATAGTTTGTATTAAAGTGAAAAATACTTGTCTTGTAGCATTAAGTATGTTAGAGGGTGTGTTTGCATTATTAGCTATGTTTGTGCAATGTTACAATACTTAAAATCCATAAAACGTTTCATTATAATGAAAATTTATTTTTCCAATGGTGAATCAAATACCAATTATTACTTCTCAGATGGCACCAAACATTTCACTGAATTGACAAATATCAATGTGTAGTGTTCCCTACTTTTTTGAAAGGTGTACATCAAATTCTCACTTTTAATGACACACATATGACTAATTTCAATTTTCTTCAAGAGTTCTGGGAAATACAAGTTTTGGGGTCTCCTAGTACCGAAAAAGTGTTTCTTTCCAAAACCACTGTCTGCTTGGCTGTGTTTGTCTGTAAACAACACTTAACTTCTAAGCTATTTGTAGGATTTTTTCCAAAATGAGTGCTTTCCAGTCATCTGGCTCGACTCAAAACCCTGCAATTTTGGAAAACATTCTTTAAATTTTGGGGGTTCTTTACATGAATCTCCTGGGACTTTTTAAAATTTTCAAAACTGGGTAAAAAAAATATACACCACTTTGCTATATTATTTTCTTTCTTTTTTCCTCAAAATTTCACAAATGTGATTTTTAATTTCTCACTCCAACATAGAGAGAAAGTTAAGTAACGCTGCCTGAAAAAATGGCAAATTCTTGACAGAAAAACCCTTATTACATGGCCCTAGTAACAAACAAGTGGATAAATCCAGTTGATAAATTTAGAAAAAAATCCTCTAACATGAAATGTAGCCAGAATCCATGTTTTGTGGGTCCTTGATACCAAAAAATCGAATGACAGCAAAACATCTGTCTGTACATCTATGAACCACACTAGCATCTAAACTGTTGAGCCCATTTTCTCCAAAATTGATATTCCCCAATCAATTGCCACCCCTTGAATTTGAAACCGACATTTTAATTTTGGAGGGTACTTTTCATGAAGCCCCAGGGACATTTTCCAAATTTTTAAAGAAATGGTTATATAATTTTTTCATTAAATTTTGTTATTGGATAGTTAAAAGAATCTTTAACAGAATGGTACAGGCCTCATGTTTGTTGAAAACCCTGATTTTTTTAAAAATATTAAAGATTGAGATTTTTTCTCTTAATGAAATCTGTTCTTAAAAGATAGATTTTGAAATTAAGTCAGGAATAATTGTTCGAAAATTTGAGTACTTGTTGGAAAATTGAAGTATGAAACTTATTGACTGATTTTGCTACCATATATTCATTACTAGTTAAATAATCTCCTACAAGTCTTTTAATACAGTTAATTACATCCTACATTAAAGAGTAAACACTTTTGTCATGTAATTAGTCGTATAAGATGAAGTTTTGCAGAGCAACAACGTTAAAGAATGAACATTTCTCTATCTTTTAGTGAAAACCAGAGCCTTCTAGAAGTATGTGCTCAAAAGATATAATGTAAATGAGAGACTCGTAATCAAAATTATATTACTGCCATGTTAACATATGTAGATAATGGAAGGAAAATAACAAAAAATATGTTAAAAGAATATATATAATTTTATTCAGAATAAAACTATATATTTAGAAAAAGTTAAAATCCCCAAAATGACAATGTTTTTTTCTCCCTTAAAACTGTTTGATGTAGAACAAAGTAATTCCCTATCCAGCTGCAGCTCAGATACATAGGTTTCTTTTGATAGTTTCTTATAAATTGTCAAAAGCCACCGCATTCTAGTCAAAGATAATTTAATTTGGTCGACCTCACATTTTCAAATCTATTTTGCAAATCAACTTTCTACAATGAAGAAAGGATACAATAACCATGTTGTTGTTAGCAGGCTGAAATAAACAAGACATCATTTCTGCACCAGCAGGATCTCGTACCACACGGAGGCATTTATTAGTAGCAGTATCCCACAGGCATAATGTGGCATCCAAAGAACAACTAACCATCAAGTCATTTGAAACAGACCAATCACAACCTAAAACCATTTCAATTTATGAATTAATCAATTCTTTAATAAATTTTGAATTAGTTATTAGAAGAACAATGAAGAAAGAAATATATCCCATAATACAATCGAGCAATTTAATACACAAGAAAAAATAGAATTCATAAATTGCATATCTTCCCCATAAAAATCAATTTCATTATATTTCTTTCTTATTGCATATCACAATAAAAAAAATAACAAAAACATTATTCATAACAAAAGTTTACTTCAACTGAACTCAAAACTTTTTTAATTAAAAACAAATAATATACCTAAATCTCAAGAACGCATAATTGAATACATTCGGAAAACATTTTTTCTTATACACTACTTCCATGTTATATTCAACTGAATGGAAGTGAACCTGAAAACTTACATGTAACTCCTTTTTTGTGTCCTTTAAAGACTACTTCAACTCTAGGAGGGTTGGCAACATTACAAATAGACACTGTGCCATCTAAAGAAGCACAACACAATCGAGACCTATCATTATTTGCAAATTTTAACATTGTCACAGCAGAGGTATGCTATAACAGAAATAAATAATTAATGAAATGTATGTATCAACAATTTCATCAATTGCTTAAGCAATAATGTTTATCGTTTATCACCTGATCAAAAATATGATGAACACCCACAAATGCATAATTTTCAGCAATAGAGGTCCCACCTACTATGGCTCTAGATGCTTCTGCTTGTTTGGTGGGTACCACACCCTCTTGTTCATTTTGAGAATTCTGCTCAACTTGACATCTAAAACTTTCTGGTGATTCACTGATCTGTGCACAATAATGATAGTTTAAGGCATTGCTGCTTCAATGAAATTACTTAATATTCAATACTGATATCTATACTTACTCTACTACTACTTCTAGCACTGACACTCCTACTTCGAATGCTTGTCTGATCACAAGACACACCATATCGTTTCTGAAGAAGTTGTCCTCTTAATTTAATATACTGTTTCCGTATGGCAGGCTCCTACAAAAATACAAAAGAGACAATTAATTTTAAATGTAAAGCATCTAGAACATTTCCTATTATAAGTGGGAAAACTCGGCTTACATCTCCTTTAGTGTATTCTCGGAGAAGCTGACTTCTTCTACGAATATACAGCGTCCCTGCACGCAGAAATGAGCAAGTCAAAAATAAAATAATGAACATTCTTAATAGGCTCCCCTAACCTCTTTCTCGTATCACATACTATTACAACGAACGACAGTTATTCTGCAAAACGTTCGCACTTACTGAAGTTCGGATGGTTTGGCGCGCGATGGGCGTTATATCTTGCATCAAGGGCAAACACCTGTTGTTGCCAAACAGTTGCCATAGCAGATGACATGACATTAGGGTGGATGACGTACACCAGACCATCCCCTATAATCGTAGACCCTTCTCCATGACAGCGTACGTGCATTGCACACCAGAGGTCTCTGCTTTTAAAGGTACGATAAATGAACGAAAGATGGCAGGACCATTGATATCCGATGGTACAGTACCCTACTAAACTAGTCGTTGACTATTGTAGTGAAAATCTTTGTGATTTATTTTACTTAGGATATTTATTAAATTCCTCCATTTAAATTTAAATAATAAATTGATAACACCATTCACTTGAGTTACTACTAAAATTATATCTTTTTCATTAAATCACTAACATACTGAACGTCCTTGGGCATCTCATTTGAGTAACAGTGCTCAGCTCCACCATATTCAACTCCCCGCCCATTGACGCTCGTTTCTGCTCGTTTCCTACAAGACGTTCGGTGGACGTGTCGTTTAGTTGTGAAAATGCAAGCGATTAAGTGTGTAGTGGTGGGTGACGGGTAAGTGCAGCGACGAATCTTAAAATTTAATTTGTTTACTGTTTGAGGTTTATTATAAACCATCATAAAAACTCAGGATTCCATTAGTACACGTCTGTATTATGACTGTGTACAAGTGCTATGGCAGTCTGCTTGTTTTGGTGTTAATGGTTTTACTTTTAATGGTGATGTGCAAGTATAGTTTCCATCTCAGTGCTCAAATTTTCTGATGAAAAGTTGTATCTGCCTTGAAGCAGTGTAGTGATCGAGTACCACTAGTTCATATAGTGCGGACGGATGTTTATGTAAGTGCATGAATAGTGCCCGAATTTAATTAATTTCGTATCAAATAATGTACATAAGTTACACGCATCTGAAAGTCGCATTTTTAAAGGTATTATTGTAAATCATAATTGCGAGCGAAATAGTGCCCAGTTCTTTAGTTGCAAATGCTATTTGTGGGTAACCACCCCCTTCATTTTCTTGACATGTTGAATGCATGATCAAAATCAATGTTTTCAGCTGATATGTATATTGGGCAAATAGATTTTGCCCAATTTCTAACGTTTTAGGGCATAGAAATTATCTTCTTCCCTCTTGAATATATCTCTTTGAGATATTAGTGGCATGTAATTTCCTAAGCATAAATGTCACTGATTATATTTGTTAATATGGCAAATATATATTACAAGACAACATTTTAGGTGTCCGTCGTGGATATTGTTCCTTCAGTATTTCAGTCAATATTTGCCACATGGAGTACATTTGTTCCATTTATTGAATCTGTTTTGTTTACTTAGGAATGTTTTGTGTGCATACAGAAGTTATATTCGTGAAATAGTTTTCTAAAATCATTACTGGGAGACAATATTTACTTGTTTGTTTTTCCTCTCTTCCAGGAGTGGGTTATTAATGTCTGATGTGGAGGTAATAGTGCATTACTGTTAGAAAAAAGAGTTCTTTCTATATTTAGTAAGGCATTATTGCAAATTTGGAAGTGGATTTCTTGCCGATAGTGTGACTTGAATGTTTTCCATGGTTTAGTTCCCTCTTAGAAATTTTTAGTTCATCAATTTAGTAATCAGTGCTTTTCTTTTGATTATGTACCCTTGCAAAAAAGATTTTTGGTATTATCAAAATAAATAGCCATTACTTTTACATGTGATTCAGATTCATTGAAATGGCGGGAAAGCCACCAACAACCAATTTTCTCTCTCAATTTCCAAGTTATTAATAACATTTTACTTTTTACTTGGACTTTTTTCTATTTGTAAGATTATGTTGAACATGTAGTATTTGTATTCCATGTATATTTCCTTACACATTTTAAGGAATTTGGAAGTAATGTATTAAAATCGAAAATGCTGGAATGATTCAAAAATAATTCTGTTCAGTTAGTAGTTACTATTAAATTATCATGTTGATTATACTGATGAAGATTAACAAATAATAGGTCAGGAAGTATGTACTTCTATGCGGCTGCAGAGGCAGGGAGAAATCACCAGAAAGGATAACCTAACCTAACTCTACTCATTTTTCCTCTTATCTATTAGTGAAAAAACAGATTGGTCATTCTGACATACAGTTGATTTTCTTGCTTATAATGTATGCATATTGCTTGCGAATTTAACTGTGTTAAATTTTATGACAGTAAGTCATTTAGTGAGTAATGGAGTTAATATCGAGAGAGATTTAATAATGATTGTTACAAGGGAGTTGTTAAGATTATGCCGGGGTAAGCAAAATCAATGTTCTATCTTCAGGACGTTGTTCATACCCTAGTCGGGGAGGTAAAGTTGAGTGAGGTTTGTCAGGAATACAAGTTTCCACTTATTTCTGCATTGCATCCTAATTTACTTTGTCATTTATACAAAATCATTTTGTTTCTAAAGACTCGGGTGAAACAAAATTAGTGTTTGGGGTACTTTTAAAACAATACGTATTGTAACATTCACATTAGCGAGAGTAATATTTTTCCCTTCCATGAAGAAATTTCATGAGCTGTCACTATATGGAAATATTACAATATCTGGGTCACCTTTAATTTAAATTAGTTGTGATGCGCTGAATACCGAAACTTATCTTAGTTACTACTCACTAGTCATATTCTTTAAAAAATGAGCATAATTTAAAACCTAAAATTGAGGGATAAATTGTATCAAGAGAGAAGTACCTGGCGTTAATCTTGGAGGTGTACGACAGGTTCGAAAATAAATGTAAACTTTTATAATTTTCAAAATTTCATGGGTTTTAATGATAATTTAAACTAAACAATTTTAAAACTGCACATTCTTTTTTATTTGTTTTTTTAAGTCAAGGGGGGGGGGGATTGTAGCCAATTTCCAGAACTGTTTTGAAAATGTTGGAGAGGCTTCATGTGGTACTCCCCAAAACGAAAACGTCTGGGATCTCCGAGACAGCGGATCCTACTCATAGATGTATTGACCACGATTTCGGCTCAAAAGCATTTAATCTGACAGTTTCGCGTTACAGCCACCTAGATATGTCGCGATTTTCGGGTACAAAAATGCGTGATTTTCGTCTCCTGCACCAGTCTTAATCCTCTTTGGAACTGCACGAATATACTCCCCCCGCCTCTCCGATATACTACATTAGGGACGTGTGTGCAAAATTACAACTCAAAAGAACCTTGAACACGGATTTTTACCACCGCAAATTCGAAACGCATTGTTAAGGTGATAAAAAATGAAGTTTTTAGAATGAACGTGCATGTGCAGGTGGCATCTCCAAGCGATATCGAGCTCTAGTGAACTTTAGATAAGGGTTATCGTGAACGATGATTCCACGCCAGTATTGAACGTCAGTGGAGTTTCGTAGTATCCACACACATACAATCGCTTTCTGAGCATCCCAATCTCGAGTTGTGGCGGTTATTCCTCCAGGACATGTTGTCTCCCATAGGGAATTCTTTTTTCGCGAATCTCGCCGGACAAGATTCACAGTGATTAATACAAATTTAGGACGAGGACAGTAAGAGCACAGTCGTTACTGTTTCGGGCGGATAAATATGTATATTAGAAAAATGAGGTGCTTGGAGTAAGAGCACAGTCGTTACTGTTTCGGGCGGATAAATATGTATATTAGAAAAATGAGGTGCTTGGAATTAGATAATAGACTTTAGCGGGAGTGGCTATGGGAAGTTCAAAGAATTTTGTAAGTCAGGTGATCAATATAAAGATCATTATATTAAAAGATACTACATTCGTTACTATACTGTGTTACACTACCTCTAGCAGAGAAAAAAGATAAATATCTCAATATTGCTTGGTGGTGCAAGTAGGTGATCATAGTCTCGTCCCAAGCGCCTCAAATGTCTAAGGAAATTATTTCAAGTAAACGGTCTGAATGAAATTTTATTTGTTACTAGTATTTGCAGTCTAATTTCGTGCGAGCATTCAAACTATTAGCCAACGCACATTAGTTTTCTGTTCGCGTTTGATTTTGTTTCAGAAGTTCTTCGTATTATAATTATATTTTCGTGGCGATATTCATTTCCATCGTAACATCTTAATTTCTGCGAGACAAATATAGTTTCCCAGTGTAAAATTTCTATCTCAAAAATAAGACCTCTTCTTCAGATCAGGCATATTGCCTTTTAAAGATTACGACGGTAATCAGATAACATGAGTATGTACCAGACTTTCATGTAGTTTTCCGAAGAAAGTTCATTTGGCCTCGGACATCGTGCTAAAATTTAGACATTACATATAAAGCCCGCGGAAACCTATGCAGTCATGGTACACATTTGTTTGGAAATGTCCTTGACTTCGTTTCACGAAAGAAAGAGTTGAACATAATTGGGCCCATTAAATTATCAAAGATACCATACAAGAAACCTTTAAAATACCTATATAAAGATTTTTGTTTAGTTGTCGCTTCAATATTCACCGTGTAGGGTCGCCTCCGGCAAACCAAACATCCCCGTCAGGAAATGGAAAGGCCCCGGTTAGAGCTCAGTAGGTGGAGAGTACGCTATTGCAACGGTGAAGTTCTTTGCTTTGGAGCAATCGCATCCCTATTTCGATCGAAGGGTAACTGTAACCGTCTTTGACTCGGCTTCCTCCTGTCACTCGCACGCGGAAATCCAGGTGGCGCGTCTTCTCGGACACGTCTTCGGATTTTGTGTGATTCATCTCTTCGTACTGGAGCGAAACCCGCTGCTGCCACGCCGCGGGCGGAATGCGATCTCCGGGCTAAAAGTGTACTTTCAAAAACCAAATTAAATTTCATTTCATTTATCTATGCATATGATAGTTCTCTTGGTTCAGTTACCTACGTATCAAATTGCACTTTGCTAACTGCATTCATTCTCGAATTACGAAGGAAAACTACTTCTGCAGCGGTGACATTCACTGTTGAATTCTCACCGATCACGTTTCCTTTAAACACTCATTTTCCCAAAACATATTTTAAAAGATGAGTTTTAATTTAACTATATCTTTTCAACTTCAAAATTAGATCAAACGCATTCAAATTGAGAGCAAACTCGTCGTTCAAATCTTGCGGTTCAATAAAATGTTCTCATTTCTTTCTTGCTTTTTAATATTTTTTTCTTTTCATTTTAATGCTGTGGGTCTGCAATTGAAGGAATTAAATGTCTATTCTCACGTTGAAAGTGATTCGTATCGATTTGAATATGTTAGGTCTCAATTTGAATGAGTTTGGTCTCATTTTTAACTTGGAACAAGTGTAGTATATAACTTGAATTTGTTTCTATTTTAGTAAATATTATATGGGCCAATAGCTACAAAATGAAGTAAAGTGGTATAGCTCTATTGTTTCTTAATTATGATTTTTTACTAGGAACAAAATAATTTATGATATCCAATTATATTTGTTGGATAAAAACAGTTTAAAATTTACTGATTGTAATATTAATAATATTGGTTCGTTTTGTTCCTTGATTACTACAGTTCTGGATTAAGGAAATTCTAAAAATAAGTTTGCAGAAGGTTTTATTTGTAAAAGTAAACGACGTGATTGCTGGAAAGAACCTGTTA